AAAAAAAAAAAAAAATTTCAAGCATCCTCTTTTTTTAAATTCTCATGTGATATTTTGGGCAATATTTACACTCCTAATAGGTATGTTTAGGGGTATAGTTATGAACACAGGTGATGAAAATATTAAAACCACACAAATTATGCTTAGCTTAATTGTTATTTTTTCAATTTATAATTTTTTCAATAGTTTATTATATCAGTAAATATCAACTTATAAGTTACTTTTAATTTATTATATAATAAATAATAATTATTTTATTCATTATCATTTCTTAAAAATCAAACTGTTATCCCAAAAAATCTTCGTGGAAGCACAAACTAAACAAAATTAATATTTTTCAAGATAATATTATATAACCTTTAACATTTTCATTTGTCCCTATAACACAACACACACATTATTTAGAAGGCCGCGGCACTCAGCAGTAATTAAAATGGTGATCGGATCTATATAAATAAAATACAATAGACATTCTTAAATTAACAGGAGTTTTAAAATATCTAGTAATATTCCCTGAACAAAATCTGGGAATTTGGTTAAGATTAAGAAACCTACTAATTCTGATATTTGGTACAGTTCAGCATATAAGAATTTTAATCTTCATGAATGCATCATTCTGAGGTAGAACTACTTCCCTTGACCACAATGAGTTTTTGGAGGAAAATTCTTAATCTAGATTTGCATGCAAGAACAAGTTTTACTCATAAATGATTCAGTTAGTACAATCTAAAACAAAATTTGCATATCTAGATAAAAGGGTTAAAAAAAAGAATGATTAACCCCAAAAATCTACACCAATTACTTTATTTCTTTTACATTTTTCAAGAATCCTTCTTATTCACTACAACTAATACTAGAGGAACAGTTTGAAACTGAAAGGAAACAACCAAACAATGGGGTTAGTATGAAACAGGAGAGTGGAGTTAGAGCTTTTCATCACCTTCTACCTTCTGTAGTACTATGGATGAGAGATCTTCAAAAACTGATTTCATGTCAGGTCTCTCAGGTGCTGGTAGGATGCATCTCAGAGCCACCTGCAGCATTGCATCAAGGGTTTTCCGTGCCTGCTTTTCATTCTGCCTAGTTAGGATCACCTTGTCAAAGCATTCGCCAGAACGGTTTTCTGCTGCTAATAACCTCACCCATTCAGTCAGTTCAACCACACCAAGTTGCAGAGGAACTATCTCACCTGGACTTTTTCCAGTCAGGAGTTCCAACAAGATTACTCCATAGGCATACACATCACTTTTCAATGAAGGGCATGGTTTGCTTGAGCTGGCAAACTCAGGAGGTCTATAGCCAAGAGCACCTGCATTTAGAACCTGCTCAGCTGTGCCTGCTGGTGTCAATACCCTGTGGAGACTGTAATCACTGAGGACTGCAGCCATATCAGGAGTGTCTAACAAAATGTTCGTGGACTTAAGATTGCCATGAGGTATTGCTCTCTCATTATGCAGGTAGTTCAAACACCGAGCAACATCCATAGCAATTTTGAGCCGTTCATCTAGAGATAAAGGTGGCAATTTTCTTGGCTCCGTCTCTGCAGAAGAAATTAAGAGCATAAATTGGGAAAAACATAAGAAAACTATCCTCCACGCTAGAAAAAAATTCGGATAAAATCATTCATACTTAAAGAAAGCCCAAAAAAGGAAAAATAAAGGACAGTCAATGCTCATATATTTCTCATCTATTTTACTGCAAGTACCCATCAATGAGTCAAGAAAAATAGCAATAATTCTAAAGAGGAGTCTACATGTACTCACAAAATGAACCAGACAACCACATAACTTGAAAATGAAATAAAGCCAGCTCCATAAATTAGTATTTTAGGCCTTGTTTTCATAGTGATGCGTCATCTAAATTAATAATGCAACAGTCAAGTGTAACAGTTCAGTAGTGTCAACTTCTGAGCATGGAGAAAGCTTGTAAGTTATAATCACAAAAGACAGGATTTTACCTTGAAGATAGAGGGTCAAACATTCTGCATTGATGAAATTTGATATGACCAGCTTCTCATGGTCCCGCGAGCCACAGTAGTAGCCAAGAAGAGGAACTAAATTCGGATGTTTGATGTACCCAAGTTTCTTTACTTCCCTTGCAAATTCCTTTTTACCTTTCGCTATGCCTTCCTTCAACCACTTGAGAGCCAATACATGACCAGAGTCAAGTGTAGCTTTGTACAATATCCCATGGCAGCTCCTTCCAATCACTTCAGCAGGAGCACGTGAAAGTTCTTCTGCTGTGAATGCTGGTGAGCCATCAAAGAGATGTAAATCCCC